GGCACACGCTCTATTTTCATGTAAGTCTGGATCTCAGCTACCCACGGCATGATGTCCTCTTCCTTACCGGAGTAAGGGTGTCGCAACATCATCCTAACTGTGTCTCTAAACTCAGCAAGTAGGTCTATAACCATCTTCTCCACTTGGGTATCCTCCATCTCCTCTCCCATTTCCATTCCCATCGTCATCCCCATCTCTATCTCCACCGTTGTCCTTCCAACTTCTTATATGTGTAATGACCCGCCAAAGCACAGACTGCGAACACTGCTGATTTCTGAGTTCTGCCGCTGGAATGGATGCCTTGCTGAGATTCCGGATTCTGCTGAGTTTTCTAAGTCTGTGTGTGTGTGCGTGCTGATGGTCTGCATGCCTGTCTGAGTGCTGGTCGGCCTGAGTGTGTGTGTGACCCGCAAGGGTACTTGCTTGTTTGGGAGGCCCGTAGGGCCAGTACTTACCTGTGGCCGTGACATTGAGGGTAGCAGCGGGGGAAAACACTCAAGTGGCGGGGATAGAGGCCCGCGGCACTTAGTGCAGCGGAAAAACACTCAAGTAGCAGGTAGACCGGGTACCAAACCAAGTAGAAGTAGATCTGCCGGGTACTCGAGGCCGAGCAGAAGAAGACAAAATTTGGCATTTTTAGAGGCCCAGTAGTTGTAGGCTAGGTCTATGCGGGTACCAGTCCAACCAGTCTGAGTCTAGGGCCTGTACGAGCAATATCAGAGTCTGCAATGATGTTTCCCTCTGAAAGGGAGGAGGTACCGATTGCTTGGAGGCCGCACGGCCTAGGAAGTCACCGCCCAAGAGGCAAGTAGGCTGCTATATCTCCAAGAGGAGCAAAATGCTCCTCCTCATTCTTCGGTGTGCAAGTGTGGCGACACACTGCTTGGAGTGTTGGCTGGAGAAGCGCTGGGCACTTCAGCGCTGCTAGGAGGAAGGATACCGGGAGCTCCCACCTCGGCTATGGTGGAGCTCTACCGATAGGAAGAGGAAGAAGAGGACTGAGGAGGAGAGTGGCGAGGTACCCACCTGGCTATGGTGGGCACCATCTTCATCACCTTGTTCGGTGCTGCATCTGGAAGGCCGCAGTTGGGGTTGCGCCGCACCAAGAAGGCTTCAAGGCGGGGTCAGGCATGGCTGCCTGAACAGCAGCGAGCATAGCTGCTTTGTGTTGTCCTTTGCACAGCAGGGCGAGGCCCTAGTAGTGAGCCATAGGCTTGGCCTACATGAAGAGGAAGAAGAAGGGTGGCCATGGCTATGGTGGACCTCATGTTGTGCCTGCAGTAGAAGAGGGATTCGGACATTGATTCTGGTTCAGCCATTCAACATTATTATTATTATTTATTGTTTGAATATAAGGGGAGGAGAAAAGGAGGAGGAGAGTGGTTGGTGAAGAAGAAGGGAATTCTCATTGGTCTTTGCTGGTGTACATCTTGTTCATCTTCTTTCTTTCATCTTCTTCTTCTTCTTCTTCCCCTCTCTCTCCTCTCAAGTTCATTCATTTCTTTTTGCAATTGGATGGCGTTGTACTTTCTGATGAATGTGTACTTCGAAATTGGCCAGGATCATAACATATGCCTCTTCCATTTTTCTTATCTCTAGATTCTCTACCCTTCTCCTGCTGGTCTAATTTTCCCTCCAGGCTCCAGCCTCACCGCCAACTCCTGGATGTTCTTTCCGAACACAGGCAATGCAATCTACCTGTTGATCTACATGAGCTGTTATATCCTGCTGCCAGCGCTGGATTTCTCTGATCTGGGCAAGGGCTGAATCCCAGTTGTCAGTGGCCCTCATTGCTATAACAGCCACCCCTTGCTCCTCCACATTCATCACCCTCTTCTCAGGTCATCCCTCACCTTGTCAGCCTCCTCCTTAGTCTTGGCCAGGGTTCTCTGTTCCTCTTCCACACACGCCCTCTCCTTCTTGGCATTTGCAACAGCCTGCTCCAACCGGGTCTCATTTTCTGCTATCTGGCTCTTCCTGGTCCCTAGGACTGCCAGCTGTGCGCCTAGAGGTTCGGAGTTGTACATCAGGGGCGGGGGTGGCTCGGCCTGACACCTCTCACCTCGGCTGCTATCTCCCTGCCAGCTGCTCGCTTGTGTCTTTCTTCCCTGCAGGGCCTCTGTATTTTCTTCATCCTCCTCCTCCTCCTCCTCCTCCTCCCCCTCTTCCTCCTGTTCTTCTTCTTCTTCACGGGTCTCCTTCTTCCCTTCTAACATCTCCCCAGTATCCTCCTCCTCTCCTCCTCCACCACCGGAAGAACTTGCTCCTTTCTTTTTCGTATTTCTTTCTCCATACTCGTCAGCACCCAGCTTGTTCATCTCTCCTGCTCCGTGACTTCATCGGTGGCATTCGACTGTGCCAAGGAAGTCCTAATGGGAAGATGAATATAAGCAACAGTCACCAAATGATGGAGAACATCAGGAGAGTATACATCGGGTAATCATCCATGATGGGGGATTTGTACAACCGTCAACCAAGGTATGGCCCCCTTCCACTTCCTCCTATCACTTAGACCTACCCCTACCGACCTTAAATTCCATCGCCTTCACTACCAAGGCGTTGGCTTACCGCTACATCCCGTTGGTTTCCTCTCACTATCGAGCTATGGTGAATCCCGTTGAGTGGCCAACAGCCGATTCAAGGACAGGCTTCATAGTCATCAAGAATTCTTTTAAGTGCCGACAGGATGATGTGGCAGGGCGGTATCACCGCTACCCCTGAACACTTAGACTGGTCAAGGCTCGTGTGCACGTCGTTCACATCCATGTCAGTCAGTATCAGTCTTGGGGCTAGACAAGTTGTTTAATGAATGCCCACCGCTCATGCCCGTGCAGCTACTTTACACACTTGCCTTCAGCAGGATGACCCTACCTATCTACAGATGCACCGTACCTGACAGACGTCGAACCTAATTGACAACAACGCAAATTGATGAGAGTAGCTCGGCATCTGGGAAAGATGCAGTAACTTCTGGACAATGAAAACAAGACTGATGCAGCACGTACAAGGCTTCAGTTAGCAAGCTCTTCACTCCCAAGCTTGATGAAGATCTCTTCAGTCGCTCCACACTCCACGTTGCAGGTAAGTGTCTCCTCCCTCGGCCCTTTTCTCCATCTTCTTGTTGCCACCAACTCCCCTTCTCCTTCTCTCTCTCTCTTTCTTCTTTTGTCACCCGCCGGCCTTATCCTTTGCACGGCGGTTCACCTTCCTTCCATGCATCACTCGAATTCACACTTGGAAGACAGCAAGAGCCTGGTCTGATACCACTGTAATGATCTACACTTGCATTTTGCACTCATGATACACCAAGTCCACACAGACACAATGCATCACACATGAGTCACCCTTCCCACAAGTCGGATGCACTTCAAGATTATTCGTAGCTCAAAGTCTTTGATACATCAAGTTGTCTACCAGTGCCCAGGCAGATATGGCCGCCAACCAGCAACAGGTACATATCTCTCTCCCTCAACCTAATCTTTGCACACACATGCACATACCTTTCTCTCTCTCTCTCTCTCTCTCTCTCTCTCTCTCTCTCTCTCTCTCTCTCTCTCTCTCTCTCTCTCTGTGTGTGTGTGTGTGTGTGTGTGTGTGTGTGTGTGTGTGTGTGTGTGTGTGTGTGTGTGTGTATGTGTGCGTGTGTGCTATGGCGCCCAGCGCAGTCGACTAACCCTACACTCAACTCCCAATGGTGTCCGACCACACGAGATGGCAGCAGTGTGTCCGCAGAGTGCACAAAGGAAATTGTCTTCACCCTCTATTTCTGCCGACCTCATGTACTTGTTGCAGTTGCGAAAGGGTACCCAAGGGCCTGTCGGTTACGGTCTTTTTCAGACACATCCGGATGTTTCACAGACCTTCCTGGGACTGAGCTGCATGTTGGCCTCTGACATCTACCAACAAATAACGGACTAGGCCCCTACGCGACTTATAGTACCTACTGACCTCCTGGACGAATTTATAGGACCTACTGGAATGTTCCTGCGAGTGGGATTATGTCACAAGTGACTCTGGGGCTTGGGAACTCGGGACTGGGACTCTGAGACACATGAAACCTTTCGAAATAGTAAAGACACGAAAGGAAAAGATCAAAGCGTGCTGGTTATTGGTACTGGCTATAGTGCTGGTCACCGGTACTGTTTATGGGTGCTCATCACTGGTGCTGGTTACTACTGCTGGTTACTAGTACTGGTTACTGCTGCTGGCTACTGCTGCCGGCTACTGCTGCCGGTTACTGCTGCTGGTTACTGCTGCTGGTTACTGCTGCTGCAGTCACTGTTACAAGATAAGGAACAGGGATTGCAAACTTTCCGATCTATCCGCATGCAGTAACAGGGTTTACAACTTTACATCCCTGTTACAGCAGTAAGAAACAGTCCTGTTATAGGACCTGGAACACAGATGTAAACTGTGTTCCAGGCCTGTAGCAGAACTAGGGGGTGTAAACCCTGTTCCAGGTCCCAGGTCCAGGTCCTGGTCCTCGTACAGGACCTGGAACAAGACAGTAAACCCACCCCAGACCCTGTTATCATGGAACCGGGGTATGGACTTTCAGAAGTTTCAGATCTATAAGGCACCTTACTTTGCAGGTTCACATTTATTGAAATTATCTTCACAGTTGAAAAAGCAGAAGGAATGATCTTTTTGTTTTCTGCAGCGCTTGACAAATTTTTGGCCCACCCACCTTTTATGCATGTGTAGTACCATTCCAAAATACTGTGGTCAGTGTGGTGGTATACAATACTCTGATAGCATGTAGTCATAGTGTAGCTTACCACAGTCCATACCACTGTACAACACTGTGACTTATGAGGAAATCAGTGAAACAGACGAAGGTACCTGCCTGGTGGCATAATGGTGCACTCATGTGATTATTGCTAAACAGATAAAGAATTCAAATCTGAATGGATACAAATACGTTTAGGGGCTTCCCCCTTCAAGTGAAAAAAAGAAAAGCAAAAAGAAGGAATAGTCCCATCTCAATCAACCAAACTTACCTCTGCTGACGCTAACCCTTTCTGAAGAAGCTGCTGGCTGTAAATCTGAAGTGTCGTTGGATGTGTAGCAATCTTCTTATATGTCAAGGGCATTGTCACACTTGGATCATCCTGGGGTAGCAAATGTGCAAGAAGAGGTCAGAAAGGAAAGGAAGTTCTTAAGAAACCCAAAACGACAACTGACGTGACTTAATTTCACTCAAATGATTGAGATTCATTCGATGCAGCCGAGATTATTGATATAATCCACTACTTCAGTCCAGTACAGAAATCCGGTATTGTGACATAGTCCACATAACAGAGGAAGCCCACACGTCAAATATTACAGGAAGTGCACATCTTGTCATCTATTTGTCTTCCGCAAAACAGAGGTATAAGTTACCTAACATATATATGTCCATTGGAGTTCTGACAGCAACTCATGCTGCCAACTCTAGCCAGAGAGCTCTGGTTTAGGGTTTCGGGACTCCTAGAGTACTAACGCTGCCAACACTCTAGCCCAAGGCCTTTGACTTCAGGGTTTATATCTATCTATCCTAAGATCCCGGGTTTAGGGTTTAACATTTATGCCTGAGCCCCAGACCACTCAAACAGTTAATCATCCATCATGAGATCTCTGCTTTAGGGTTTAGGGCGTAGGGTTTATAGTACTTTATACCTAAGTTCTAGAGCGCTCATGCTGCCAACCCTCTTGCCCGAGGCCTATGGTCTAGGGTTTAGGGTTTCAAGCTTAGGTTTTATAACTTCATTATTAACTAATATTAATATGTCCTTCGGGACATCTGTTAAAATTGGGATGGTACAGAGAAGATTAGCATGGCCCCTGCGCAAGGATGACAAAAAAAACAAAAAAAAAGTCTGTCCTAAGATCTCTGTTTAGGGTTTAGGGTTTATAACTAAGTCCCACAGAACTCACTCACGCTGCTAACCCTTTATCCTTTTTTTTTTTTTTTTTTTTAACAGAACCTTATGGTTCTGGCTCCTTATCCATTCTGGGGGGCATGAGTCCGGTTCGTATACCACCGGCAAGTCAGAAAAGATGCATCGACTACTCACACGCGCTCCTCCCCCTTCTCCTGTGAAGGACCGAAGGACGGCGTTGATTACTTCCCGTGTGAAGGACGTACCATCCCTCACCCTTCCCTAAGTTAGCCTGATTAAATAACTCTAGAACTGTGGTGCCTTTCTGTTATACTGCCCTGCTAAACTCTACTTGCAGCCTGACTACAGAGCTATCTCTAGCTTGTCCCTCTCAGTTGCCTAGCTGTCGGGTTTGCATGGATTGCTGGGACAACTAGAGCAGTTCGTGTCTGTGTGCTTCGCTGAAAGTTAAATCTTGCAGTCCACGGCCGAAGTAGCCGCAGATTTAGGCCCTGCATCTTTGTTCTTAATTCTAATCATGGGCTAGTGCACTGAATAGTTGCTGCTGATGGCCTTACTACACAGTACTCGGTAGGCCTTGCTTAAACCCTAAACCCTAGCATCTGGGTTGGCCTTGTCACAGCATTGTAGTGCTGTCTCTTCTAAGGGAGCCATTTCTATCTGCTTCTACTTAGTAGGTTGGTTCACAGTAGCTGATACGACTTCCAACTGCTACCTTAGTTGACCCCCTTCCCTCAGCTGGTTGGGCTTATGTTGAGAGGAGGCAAGATCTGAAGTGGTGATACTTGGATCCTAGTGGGAGTATGAAGTAGTAAGGTTTAAGGTAGGGTACGAGGGGTGTGAAGTTAAAGATGGATGGGGGGGTGGTAGATGTGGTGGGACAGCCAGGCTGATGGAAAGTAGAGCGAGAGGCTGGAGAGAGGAGATTTTGGAACTATTCGAGAGGGGAGAGGGGGATGTTGGTTCTGTGACCGAGGACGAGGGGTTGTTTTTTTTGGGGGGGAGGAGGGGTTGAGAGTGGAGTGGAGTGGGGGCTGTGGGAGGCAAGTACCTTCGTTAGTGGGGGGGATGCACAGTATGGGCGTTGGAGTCATGTGTCAGGTTTGTAAGCAACAGGGAAGCGTTCTAATAGGGTGGGAGGATTAATTAGCCAGTTTTTGAAGACTAAATAATCGTTTTTAATTTCTCCTAAAAGGCCTGCTCCTAGTTTTGAAGTTGTAAATCTATGGATTAATTCTGTTTTTTTGTCGGGGGCATTGTTTATTTGTTTTCGGGTTCTCTAACTTCTCTTCCAGAGTGCACATATTTCGGTTTCTATTGTGTGTTTTATTGTAATGAGTGGGTTCTCGGGGGTGGAAGGGCGATCGTCAAAGGTTACGTCACACCTTCTTTTCCATAGGGGTCCCAGATGATTCCTTTCCTGATAAGTGAGAAGAAGAAAGCCTTGAAGCCTTTCAGGGGCGGGTTCTGATCTAAGTTGAGGAATACTGTACCGGACTCGTCGGAGAAGGAATTCCAAGTGAGTTCTGTCTCTTGCCATGTGATCCTAGCTTTTGGGCAATCAATGAAACAGTGGTTTAGTGTTTCCTGCGTCTGTTGGTTGCAGACTTTGCACCAGGAATCTTGATCTGTTCTGTTTTCCTTGCTGCGTCTCTGCGCCAACCAATGGTTGACTGGCACTGCACTGAATGCTATTAACCAACGTAGGCTGGGCAGTTTGAATGGTCTAGTGCAGAAACTTGACGTCCAAGGCGGGGATATTTGTGAGTCTGTAAGAGTGACTTCTTTTGTCCAAGGTGGGCTTAGAGAGGAGACGGTAGCCTAGTCTGGGAGTGTAGTCGGATATTTTGTGAAGCTGTGGTATAGTGGCTCGGCGGATGGAAGTGCTCCAGGTCCATTCTGTCGGGTCTATTTCTAGTTCTTGCATACTTGACTGCAGCTTAAAAACATTGCTTCTTTCTCTTTTGCAATGATCTCACATGCAGTTGTCATCAAACAAGCTCAGCAGAGAATGTTCAACAGGTTTCCAATTACGCATGAGTAGGGAGTACCAAGAGAACAACCAACTTGTTTTATTTCAAGAATTTACACAGCTGAAAAGTCTGGCCACTCCTCCTGCGGCCCAGCAATGTCCATCCGACAACAGCTTCAGATATGTGTCTCGTTAGTCTCTCCCTCTCTCCCCCTCTCTCAGTATGTACATGATCTCCCTCTCTCCCCCCCTCTCAGTATGTACATGATTTCCCTCTCTTCCTCTAGTATGTACACACTCTCTTCCCTCTCAGGTATGTACACTCTCCCTCTCTGCCTTACGTTCACTATGCCTGGATCTATCCCTGAATACACCCACCTCCTTGGTCTCCAACGGCTATGGACGCCTTCCTCTTCATCGCCTCCAACTTGCTTCACGTCATCATCCTCGTTACCACAGCGCACAGGGTCGCGATGGTCGCACAAGCCGCACAGTGTGTCCGCAACATGCAACTCTGAATGAATCGCCAAGGCACTGTGCTTGCTTATATAGTTGCATGGACTGGGTTGGTCTGTCTGGACCGGTACCGGCCGCTTGGGCCTGTGTGCAGTAGACGGCATGTTTCTTGGGTACCGGTGCCTTCCGGAAGGTGCTGCTGCAAGGTTGGACTTTCGACTTCTGGACTTTTCCTTTGGTACCAGGCCCAACCAGTACCGGCTTGACTTCTGGACTCTTCAGGCCCAACAGGTAGACTTCGACATCTAGACCCTTCTTGACTTGAGCCTGCAACTGCCCAAAACTGGACCCTGCTGACTTCTAACGGGACCGGACCTCTAAATTCGACAGGAAGCTTCTGGACTGGGCCCCTGGCCCTCAAGTGTTTTAGCATTTTTCTTGTGAGGGTCGGGTGGCCCTCAACTCTCTGAATTTGGCCAGGGCCTAAGGGCTCGAGATTTTCTGAGGCCCGACAAGGCCTGGCTAATAGTATCTTCGCAGGGTGTTTGTTTTGAAAGCAACTTCTGCTCTGCTTTCTGCGTTGGTGAAGCTTACCGGGTTTTGAGGGTCGCGTGGTCCTCAACTCTCTGAATTTGGCCAGGGCCTAAGGGCTCGAGATTTTCTGAGGCCCGACAAGGCCTGGCTAATAGTCTCTTCGCAGGGTGTTGTTTTGAAAGCAACTTCTGCTCTGCTTTCTGCGTTGGTGAAGCTTACCGGGTTCCCTGGTTCCTCGAGAGTGAATACGTCGCAGCAGATCCAGTTATTATTCAAGGTTTCGTATGTTTTAAATCTGAGAACCTCCTGTACCACCCCCTGTTCCTTTATTGTGGCCCAGTCCCTATACTGCCATTTCTGTTCAGACCGTAGCAGGCGCCTCCATTCCATGGGGATGCTTTCAATGATCTGATTAATGTTCGTTTGTAGGTGATGTAGGACTTTCAAGGTTGGCCTGAGTTCCTTTTCTGTTTTCCACTCGTTTGATGCGTCATCCCAGAGGTGTTGAGCTGCCATACTCCTCTTTCTACAAAGTGACCTCATTCGACATCTGATTTGGATAGAGAAAAGCTTTCGCCTTTCTCATTTCTGATCCAGGGGTTGCCAAAGAGGGGGTTGTCTTGGAGTTTTGTCTCTGCTTTTGGGGCCCATCATGTTTTCTGGAAATATGTTCCTCCAAATGGGCAGGATCTGATCCCAGAGGGATTTTGAAAGTTCAGGATCGTGATTATCTTCTTGGGTCGGTTGAGGGGTGTGTTTTTTTTTGCCTTTGGGAAGTGTCCAGTGTTTGTTGAAGATCCAGAAAAGACCTGTCATGGTCTTTGGTGATTTGAATGGGCCCAGTTCCCTGATGTGATTCAGGGCTAGGGGAGTCCAGTGGAGGCTGTCTCGGAGGGATATCCTCAGGATCCATTTGATTTGAAGGGGCTGGACCTGGCAAGATGGGTCTAGGGGACCCAGGCCACCCTTAGACTTGGGTTGGGTAACTGTTTGCCAGGACACCTTGTGGATAAAGTGTTCACTGTCGGGGTTGCCTGTCACGAGAAAGGCTGTTAAAATTTTCCTGATTTGGCTTTGGAATTCGTCAAAACCAAGTAGAGGTGGCGTACTACATCATGGCTAATATTGAGTTGTTCAGCGCTATGACCCTGCCAAGTACTGATGTGTGGATACCTTTCCATGTGTGCATTCTGTTGAACATGGACAATAATAGGGAAGCTGCCAATGTATTATGGCACCTTTCGTGCTGAGGTTGATCCCTAGGAAACGCATAGGAGGGGAAGGATCTGCCCAAAGCATGCCTTCTGGGGTGAGTTCAAAGCATGGTGGGATTTCTGATAGCCACCACTGCCCACCAGCCTATTGCTTTTTTCCAGTTTACTTTCATTTTGGAAGCCAATTGGAATGATTGCATTGCTCTTGTAAGGGCTTGGAACGATGAGTTGGATGCTATGATGAGAACCGTGAGATCGTCCGCGAAGAGGAGGGTGGTGGGTATATGCAGTGGCTGACCTCTGTCGACCCTGATACTCCCTAGTCTCTCTATGGAGAGGTATTTGCTCAGGAAGGCTGCAATGGCTTTCATTACAAATAGGAAGATAGGTGCTGCCAGGGGGTCGCCTTGCCTGACCGATCTCGACATTCTGTAGGGGTTGGATATGAAGCCGTTGATTTGAACTATGCCCTGGGCGTCATTGTGAAGTACCCTTACCCATTTCCTGAAAACTGGACCTACTCCCATTTTTCCCATACAGGATTGGAGGAATTCCCAGTTTACCTGATCAAATGGCTTTCTCAAAGTCGAAAAAGAGGATTGCCGTTGTGATCTTCTTTTGATTCATTATCCTGGTGGATTCAGTGAACAACATTACGTTGTCTAAAAATTAGTCTACCTTGGATGAACCCTGTTTGATCAAGGTGGAAGCAACCTCCTGTGATTTTGTTTATTTTGGAGTCTAAGAGTTTGGCTAGAATTTTGTAGGATACGTTCAATAAGGAAATTGGTTTGGAATGATCAGAATGATAACGCTGTGGTCCATCTGGAAGGAAAGGTGCTGTAGAACCATTGAGGGACTCTCAAATCCAAGGGAGAAGGTATGGACGGAGACAAAGACTTTGATTCAGGCGGAGATCCTTCGTAAGTGGCACAAGACGAGACAGTCCATGCCAGATGGAGAAGAGCAACAGAGAAGAATCAAGGCAAATTTCACTAAGGTGTGGCTTGCAAGGGGCAAAGTGGCAGAGATAAATGACTCCCACATACAATGGAAAGACTGGCACAACTCAGAAGCAGGGTGGAGAAGGCAGAGATCCCAGCCAGCAGAAGGACAACATCCATCACAGGTCACATAATATCGGAGAGCGAATCCCGAGACTGCAACTTCCGTAGCTTCTCTTACCTTTCTTGCCCTTCATTATTTAGCTGACAGGCTCATGCAGTGGACCTGAGAGGAAAGGTGTAAGGCAAGCTGACAGTCAATCCTCCACGATGCGGGAGTAATCAATGCTGGTCAGGGTTCCTTCGGCCGGACGGAAGGAAGCGTGAGTGTGTGTATGATGTAATATTTTTTTCTGACTTGCCGGTGGAATAGTAACCGGACTGATGCTCCCCAGAATGGAAATGGAGCCAGGGCCGTAAGGACCTGTTTATAATAATAAAAAAAAAAAAGAAGGAAATTTCAAATTGGTCTATAATTTGAATTAATTTCTGATGTCCTCCTTGCTTCCCTTTTTGTATAGGAGGGTCACGACTGCCGTATTGAGGTCCTCATTGCTAACCCTTTATCCTCAAATATCTGGTTTAGGTTTATAAGTTATAACTAAGTCCCAAAACTCAAGCTGCTAACCCTCTCTATCCGGAAATCTTTGGTTTAGGGTTTAGTATGTATAACTCTACACCTGAGTCTTCAAGCACTCATGCTGCCAAGTTTCCAACCCTGCTGATCTTTGCTTTAGGTTTTATGCATAAGTCCATAGTGAGATCTCCGGTTTAGGGTTGAAGGTTCACATGTAAGTCCTCGAGTGATCATGCTGTTAGCCTTCTATCCTGAGATCTCTGGTGTAAGGTTTAGGGTGTAGGGTTCATACACGGGTTCTAGAGCACTCATGCTGGCACTCTCAGGCCTGAGATAACCGGTTTAGAGTTTAGGGTTTAGGGTTACACCTCAGTCGTACAGCACACCTGCTGCCAGCCAAATACTGGTAGCCCCATATCTCATCCAATAATGTGAAGAGCAAAAATATATATATCAGCACAGAGCAGAGCAGAAGACGACTAAATCGTACTGACATCAACCCACAAGGCAGTACATCCACTCAGGAAATTGACACGAAACAGATGTCTCAGTGAAGGTCAGCCGAAGGATCAACAATCCTGCACAGAGAGAAGAATGGGAAATAGCGGACATATAGACGAAAGCCATCTCCCATGCACATCCACAGAGAAATGGAGGTGATAGACGGATGGAATGGACGATAAAGGGAGAGAGAGGATGTAAGACAAACAGTATTCCCCGCCAACTCCAGCATATCTCATCACTATGATCACCGATCACACTTCATTTCTCCCTGAATCTGTAATCCGTCTCATGAAGGACAATAGAAAGGCGGGTGCCATCTACCTCCTCAGTTTCTCATTACCCTCCCAGCTCTGCCCACTAAACCACCAGTGATTGCCTTCCACAGAAATCTCCATACATGTCCATAAAACTGGCGTAAATGTAGTATCAAATATTTGATACTACATATTTCATATTCACCTTGGAGCTGTTGGGCTCACTTCACCTCTAACAATTTCAAGGTGAAGATCATCACATAAGCAAGATGGACTGGGAAAAGGTTCACAGTCCTCTCCTCACACAAAAAAAAAAAAAATCAGCCTTCATTGCCGACATTTCCATACCTGTTCGTTGTGGCCATGACGTCGGTAGCACACAATGTCAACCACCACATCACTGAGAAATCTCTGCACATTCAACAAACAAACAATCAAAGATGCATGAATAACCATGTCCACGTTCATTTCTTCACATATGCTCAAGTGAATAATTCTTCAATCTGCACTTACAGATGAAGTTGTGAACTCACAAACGACTCACCAACAACCCCACCAGCCCACTCGAACCTCCCCCCCCCGTCGGTAGCACACAATGTCAACCACCACATCACTGAGAAATCTCTGCACATTCAACAAACAAACAATCAAAGCATGAATAACCATGTCCACGTTCCTTTCTTCACATATGCTCAAGTGAATAATTCTTCAATCTGCACTTACAGATGAAGTTGTGAGCTCACAAACGACTCACCAACAACCCCACCAGCCCACTCGAACCTCTCCCCCCCCCCCCAACAAACCAAATGCCCGGCCAACTTGCCTGTTCACACAAAGACCTGTGGACTGGCTGTTTCGACACTGGTCCGCCACCTGCCACATCAACTACCCCACCCATCCCCCCACCCACCACCAAAACCAATCACTGCACAAACTGTCACTGTTACGATCCTGGTCATTTCCAAAGTGCAAATTCACAAGGAAAGACCATACTACCCAATTTCGAAAGAAATGAAAGCACTTGCAAAGAGATAGAGATCAAACAAGGAGAGAGAAAGAAGAAGAAGAAGAAAAGAAGAAGAAGATGTACACCAGCAAGACCAATGACATATCCCCCTTCTCTCTCCACCTTCCTCCTCCTTGTCTTTGCCGATCTTATTCTTCTTCCAAATAATAATAATAACAATGAGTGGTTGAACCAGAATCAATATCCGAAGTTCCCTCTTACTGCCAACACAACAATAGGTCCACCATAGCCATGGCTTCCCCCTTCACCTTCCTCTCACATGCCAAGGAGATGGCGGACTACTAAGGGCTCTGCCCTCCTGTGCAAAAGACAACTCAAAGCAGCTATGGTCGCTGCTCTTCAGGCCGCTATGCCTGACTCTGCCTCAAAGCTTCCTTGGTGCGGCACTACCCCAACTGGGGCCTTCCCGATGCAACGCCTAACAAGGTGATGAAGATGGTGTCCACCATAGCCAGGTAGGTACCTCGCCACTCTCCTCATTTGCCCCCTTCTTTCACCTCCTCAGGCTAGGCTGCTAGCCATAGCCAGGCTGAGCACCCAGCTCTTCTTCAATCTCTCAGGCAGTGCTCTGAGTCCAGGCTGCCCGCTCAAGCAGTATGTCGTCCAACCTTGCACACCGCAAATGAGGAGGAGCTACTCACTCCTCGTGGAGATATAGCGGCCTACTTGCCTCTTGGGCGGTGACTTCCAGGCCGCGCGGTCTCCAACCAACCGGTACCTCCTTCATTTGGGAGGGAAACATCATTGCAGGCTCTGATATCGTCCGTACAGGTCCCAGACTCAGGCTACTTGGACAGGTACCGGCCTACATCTAGCCTACCGCTACTGGGCCTCTAAAAATGCCAACTTTGTCTTCTTCTGCTCGGCCTCGCGTACCCAACACATCTACCACTACTTGAGTGGTACCGGCCCACCCGCTACTTCTCAGACAGGCATGCAGACCAGCAGGGACGCACACACACAGACTTAGAAAACTCAGCAGAATGCGGGAATCTCAGCAAGGCATACATTCCAGCTGCAAAACCCAGAAATCAGCACTGTTCTCAGTCTGTATTTTGGCGGGCCATTACATCACACAAATTGCCCTGCTCATCACCGCACCCATCACAGACTGATTATCCAACACGCCAGCAAGTGCACCCACCACCGCACAAGCAATCCCACGAACTGCTGCACAACCCATCCCTCTCATCGTGAACAGGCCAATCCATTGCACCAACTGACAACAGGCAGCACACACACCCCAACTACCAACCCTGCTACCTACCCACTTGCCCCAAGTTTCACCCCACCCACCCAATGTGTACCCACCCACCCATCCAACTATCAAAACATCAGACAAAAAAAACAAACAAACAGAAAAAGAACAGACCGGCAACTGACACTGTTGATGGACTTGCAGGCAGAAGAGCACAAATGAAGGGATACAGGAAGGGTTGATGGCTGATGGAGGGAAACATGAAAAAACAGTTGGAAAAACAAACAAACAATCAGCAAGCACAGGAAAGACACCCACAACCACACACTCAAAAACCCACAAACCCACAAACCCACACCCACACCCACAGCCACACCCACACCCAAGAACGAAAGGAGGGATAAGAAACAGAAAAGACAGGTGCCAAAAATAACAAAAAAGGGGGAGACTCGATCTGCCAAAGACAGAGAAAGCCGCATCTAAAAACGTCTGGACATTGCGAAGTGAACCAATGGGATCTGAACTATGGACCTCCACCGGGGATAAGGCTTAGGAGGAACAAAAAGGAAGGTCAACACCACCGAGGACGAGGATCAGGATCTGATCCCCCAGGATCCCCAAAGGTGGATGCAGCACCTGAAAAGACAGTACGGACTTCGGCACTCTCAGGCAGACAGCAACCATGGAAAGTACCGACTAGACCCTGAGCAGTAATCAATGCCCCTTCCCCACCCCTAAAACGAAGCAGACATCCTGAACTCCATGAGAACAGCCAGCAACAGGAACTCTGCTGAGGACAATGGAAAATCGTTCAAAATACTGAAACTTGACAGATGTGAACTGGACCAGGTAAGTACTTTGAAGCGTGCAAGCAGCATTTAACCTGGATCAGCACGCCCGCAGGTAACTTTTGCAAAGGGCAAATCACTCCAGGAGCTTTCAAGCGGCTTCCGGAAACACCATAACCTCCCGATTACCCTCCCATACCAATCCCTCTCACTCCTTACTCCAGCTATATATATAAAAATCCTGGCACGATTGCTAGCATCAAGCCCTATTGGAGCATATGGAGCTGAAGTGTGCCAGCTGAGCAATTGCCATGCAGGCTGCAACCATGGACGTGGAGCTGCTGGGAATCACGAAACTTGTGGAGGAATTTTATGAGGAGGAAGCTGCAAAGCTCCTGGAACCTGTGTGCGCATGGATATCCTGGCATGTCCTGTGATTCCTTGATTGTGTATGCAGGTACCAAGAGCCCTCTGACGAGCTGTTTCAGTGACAATGGTGAAAAGCTTGAGCAGATCCACGACCCTCCTGACCACGACATGTGGACAAGACTGCCATCTCCTTCAGTCTCCGTGCCATCACCGTGGCTATGCCTCACCGCCTACGGCTACAGATATCCCTGATTAGATTATCACCCCCGTATGAGATTCTCCTGTCCCACAACCTTCCACGTCAATCCCTTAACCCCCATACGATCTGTAGAGAAATTTGAGCCATGAGCTTATGTGTTCTCTCCTTTCCTCTTTTTCTCTTCTATCCTCCTTCCCTTCCCCCTTTCCGTCTACCCCTACCTCTCGACCAACCAAACGTACCCCTGTCCCCTGAGGAATATGATACTGTGAAAAATTGCAAATCCATAGAATACAAACTGATCGAGGAAACAGGGGAGAGAAAAACAGTATGTGCCTTTGAGCTGAGCGATGGAAGGTCTTGATGTGGTCCACTTAATAGCGATAGCTTTCATGGAATTCCTCCCCTTGCTCCCCTTTCTAGCTTACCTAGATACTACTGGCTACCCTTGGGAACTCGTCGCTTCGTATGCAATGCGCAATGCGATGCTGCCCAGGCGCCTAACACACTGCCTTTCCCCAGCTTCTCAGAACAAGTGTGCTGCATAAGGGAAAATCCTTATTGGAGATTGGGAAGACAATGCGTGACGCGTGAAGGGGATCAACACCAAAGGATCTTTAATCTTCCGGATGAATCAGTAGCGGTGTCGGGGCAAAGGCACAGACCGTTTTTCTCTCCCCGCATGTGTTGGACCCCATTTAACGATGTCCCCATCGTTCACCATGAAAAAGAAATCCGGATCCTTAGCAGTCGCGCACCATTATTTGAAATAGAATAGGTCTAGCCTTACCATTCCCATGTCCGCACGCCTCTGCGGCCCTGATAGAAACCGTCGATCACTGCCATTACTCTCAGACGTCACAAACATCTGAACTAAGGTTCTAAAAGTTCTAGTCTCTCGGTCATAAGCCTGGTCTGAATAAACTTTTGACAAACGTTAGTCTCATCAAGTCCTTCAATTCAATAAAAGAGTCGGACAGCGTCCGACGTTTAAAATCTTCGACAAATACCCTTGTCAGGGTATTTGCCCCGACAGCATTCCCGGAACCCATTGAACGATGTCCCCGTCGTTCACCATTAAAAAGAAATCCGGATCCTTATAAAATCTCTATGTGAAAGCAACGATCACAATACAACAATTCCAACAATTGTCCGGAACTAAGTCGGAACTTTTCCACCAACATACGACAATACAACAACAAAACAGGATTTAGCCTCCAGAAGCCTTAACTTAATACAACAAAACTGGATTTAGCCTTCAGAAGCCTTAACTTAATACAACAAAACTGGATTTAGCCTCCAGAAGCCTTAACTTCGTACAACAAAACTGGATTTAGCCTCTAAAAGCCTTAACTTAATACAACAAAGCTGGATTTAGCCTTCGGAAGCCTGAACTTAGTACAACAAAACTGGATTAAGCCTCCAGGAGCCTTAACTCAATACAACTCATATGTGGATAGAATGATGCCAGATTTTGCCTCTGGCAAGCCTAATCAAAACTTGGACCCAGGTCTAGCCCCTGGAAGCCTTCAATCCAGAGGAACTTTTTCAGAAAGATCCCAGCATCATCCCAGTGGCGGCCACTCAAAAACATCATTTAGCCTCTTAGAATGGTACCGGAAAAGCTTCCGGCTAGCCTTCAAAACCCCAATTGGTTGACACATCCATTTATCTAAAAAGTCAGGTTTAACCCCCTGACGGGTCTTTCAACATAATCAACCTCCTGGGCGGCCCAGGCAGAATCCGAACCAACCATTCATGAGAGAAACCATTCATTCAAAATTCCTCGACCAAGTTATGATTCTCATTCCAATCCACATAAGTTATCATGCCCGTTACTTCTGAACTTCTTGTGAATGCATCGAGGAGTGGTGTAATCCGTATGAGGATAACATCTCGACATCAAGCCCCACTTTAGATTCAAGCCTCACCACATTCCCTCCGATTCCGGTGTTTTTGACCCCATTAGTCCTCTGCATATAGAGTAGAACTGCCCCACCCCACACGGTGGAGGCTGACTAGGCCCCGATCATGGAGGTAAGG